CTGTGGATGCTTGCATGGCCTCTTGCTTCACGTAGGCTGTGATTTCCCCTTCACATTCTGGCGTAACTTCAATAGATCTCTATATAATGTTTTGTTCTCTTAAGGGTATAATACATGACTAAGGTTTCATTTAGAAGTGTTACACGTAGGGCGGAGCTAGAATTTTTCAGGGGACGAGATAATTTTTCAAATATTAATTTAGGTTAAAACCTCATTTTGGTTCTTGAATTATTGTACAGACCTTCGATTTGGTCCCTAAACTAAAAAAATCCCTGATTTAATCCCTACTGTTTACCATTTTAACCCCGATTTGGTCATTTCGTTAAATATCCACCTACGTGTCTTGTTACGTGACGGAGAAAAGGATGACATGTTAAAACATTTTGACACTTAGGATGTACAGCATGGTAAAGAAATGAGATGGCAAAAAATTACTTTAAAATTTTTCTTTTTTTTTTTTTCTTTCTTTGTTTTTCTTTTTACCCTTTCTTCTTCCTCTCCCTTTCCTTTCACCTTCTACAAACCCTAACATTTCCTAATATTAAATCCGAAAATAACACAACAAACCAACAGATAGAAATCAATAGATCCTTCAATCTAATTGCAGTTGGGTTGGAAACAAAACCCAACGCTTGCTAGGTTTGAAATCGAATCCAGCACCTGCAAGAATATGAGGATAACACAACAGATAACAAATCCATAAATAGATCGAACTCAACAAATCCATCGACCCAACGACTGCTGAGTTTGAACAGAACCCAACAGACAACAGATCAATAAACAAATGGAACTTAACAAATCCATTGACCCAACGGTTGCTGGGTTCTAAACGGAACCCAGTGCCTGCTAGGTTTGAAATCGAACCCAGCACCTTCGAACCGAGCACCTGCAGGAACCCAGCACCTGCAGGAACCCAGCTTGAACACAGTGCCTGCTGGGTTCCAAATCGAACCCAGCACCTACAGGAACCCAGCACCTATGCCTTCCTCATCTTCATCCACCTGCAAAAACCCAACGGCTGCCTTGCCTTCTTCATCTTCATCCACCTGCAAAAACCCAACGGCTGCCTTGCCTTCTTCATCTTCATCAATCAATTTCTCATATCATCAAACAACAAAACCCAACAAAGAAAACATAAATTTCTTTTTTTTTTTTGGGAACCTAGGGCTGGGTCTTAAGGAACCCAGTGCTTGGGTTTCATCGAACCCAGGCATGTTGGGTTCGGTGGAACCCAGCATGCCTGGGTTGCGTCGGACCCAGGCAACGCCTGGGTTGCGTCGGACCCAGGCCACGCCTGGGTTCCGTCGGACCCAGGTGTAGGGGAAAGATAAGGGGAGGGGGAAGGGAAAGGGGAAGGGGAAAGAGAAAAGGAAAGGGAAGGAAAAAGAAAAAAAAAAATTGAAAGGGAAGGAAAAAGAAAAAAAAATTTTAAGTTTTATTTTTTATAATATTTTTTTATATTATTATTTTTTTCATGTCATCATTTTTTTGGTCTTATTGTATTCCACGTGTATTAATATTTGACATGTTATCCTTTTCCCCATCAAGTAACAAGACACGTAAGCGGATATTTAACGAAAGGACCAAATCAGGGTTAAAATGGTAAACAGTAGGGACCAAATCAGGGATTTTTTTAGTTTAGGGACTAAATCGAGGGTCCGTACAATAGTTCAGGGACCAAAATGAGGTTTTAACCATTAATTTATAAAAATTTTTAAATTTCAGGGGTAGCACACCCCTCGCACCCCGTCCCTCCACCACTGGTTGCACGTAATAGATTTTTTCACAAATATATTGTCTAAAAGGGTAAATTTATTATAACGAATTAATTGTAATTAATATTTTATATTTTTAATAATTTAATTAATA